CTAAAGAAAAGATATACAGATAGAAAAGAAAATGATTTCTGGATTACCTATAAGGAATGTTCCTTATAAATGATCTGATGTGTTTTAGACAGTGACATTTTCTTTCTTTTTTTCTTTTCTTTTGGTTATTCCAGACAGGGTTTCTCTGTGGCATTGGAGGCTGTCCTGGAAATAGCTCTTGTAGACCAGGCTGGTCTCAAACTCACAGAGATCCACCTGCCTCTGTCTCCCCAGTGCTGGTATTAAAGGCTTGCACCACAAACGCCTAGCCTAGACAGTGACATTTTAACCCATGACTTCCAATATCTGATCCCCGTATTTCTCCAGATCAATAGCAATCCTTAGGGATTCCTGAGATAAAAGGTTGCCTAGTGCACAGCTAGTTTTTTCCCTTGTTTTCAAGTCATACTTACAATGTGATCACTAAACATATTTTTTTCCTCTGCACCACTTCAAAGAAAACTTACTTAGGATGGGTTTTTTTCCTACCTTTCCTAGAGAATTTCTTTCTTTTAAATCTGTTTGTTGGTGGTATATTTTCTCAGCTACAACTGTATTTATTCATTGACGTTTTCAGTCGATTTTAATCTGGAAATACGTTCCTGAAATAATTTCAACCCAGTGATCGCATTTCCCTATTAAATATGTTTGAATTTTTTCTTTAATTAATGTGCTATATGCTATTTTTATTTCCTATTATTTATTTATTTATTTACTTTTAAATTAGAAACAAGTTTCTTTTACACATCAATCCCAGTTCCCTCTCCCTCCCTTCCTCCCCTTCCCCCACCCACCTTGTATCCCATCCCCTTTCTGCTCCCCAGGGAAGGTGAAGCCTTCCATGGGAGATCTTCAAAGTCTGTCATATTATTTGGAGCAGGGTCTAGACCCTCCCCAGTGTGTCTAGGCTGGGAGAGTGTCTCTCTAAGTGGATTGGGCTCCCAATTTTTAACATATACAAATAAAATTAGTCACTGAATGTTATTACCAATGCAATCCTCAATCTGTTTTATTCAAGGTTATATTATTGTTTATTTTAATTAGAAAGAAAATTATTTTACATATCAATAGCAGGTCCCTTTCCCAACTCTCCTCCCCTGACCACCCCCAACTAACACCCTACCTATCCCATACCCTTTCTGCTCCCAAGGGAGGGTGAGGCGTTCCATAGGGGTTCTTCAAAGTCTGTCTTATTCTTTGAGATAGGGCCTAGGCCAACCCCCTTGTGTCTAGGCTCACAGAGTATCCCTTGATGTGGGATGGGCCCCCAAAGTCTATTACTATGCTAGGGATAAGTACTGGTCCACTACAAGAGGTGCCATAGATTTCCAAAGTCTCTTCACTGACACCCACATTCAGGGGGTCTGGATCAGTCCCATGCTGGTTTCCCAGCTATCAGTCTGGGGACCAAGAGCTCTCCCTTGTTCAGGTCAGCTGTTTCTGTGGGTTTCACCAGCTTGGTGTGGACCCATTTGCTCATCAGTCCTCCTTCTCAGCAACTGGATTCCAGTCCAGTTCAAGGTTTAGCTGTGGGTGTCTGCTTCTACTTCCACCAGCTGTTGGATGAAGGCTATACAACATATTATTTTTATGAAATGATATGAGATTTAGTTTGATTTTTCTGTTCTCTGAAAGTGCATGGATGCTCAGAATTACATACTTTGTGAATTTTTTAATGAACTCTTTCTAAGAACTCTAGGACATGCCTCAGTAGTTTTTTCTAGAAGTAAATGTATTAAATGAGTTAAGATGGGAACCAGGTACTAAGATATTAGTGACAACATCTGCATTTAGAGGTTTCATTTTTGGTGGCTGATTTTCCCACAAGTAGGCTTTATATTGGGACAACTTGATTTTGAGGTATTTTTTCTTATCATCGACTTTATAAACTAAAAACAAGTGTAGAGGTGTGGAAATCTGAGGTTGTGCAGCTGAAATTTCAGCACAGGGCTCCACTCACGTTTACACATTCCACTGAAGTTTGCCCAAGCAGCATTTACACATTCTGGTGTTTTATTTACCAAGTTTGTCTTTAAAGACAAACTTCTGAAAGTGAAGCTTGTTTCTAAATGAGTGCATGACCCCTGGTCTTTTGGGAAACTTATCTTTATAAAATATAATTATGTTACCTGTGAAATATGCTGTCTGTTAGTCAATCTTATTGGAATTTATATTCAGAAATATGAAACTATTAATCTACAGAACCATTTATTCTCTCTACCTCTTTTTCATTATAGTGTTTTTGTCTTTGTTTTCTGGTGATCTGAATAAGAACATATCTTTTCTATTGCCCACAACATGCATTTATAGGACTTTATTTTGGATATAATTGAAATATAAGGTATTATTTTAATTATAAATCAGTATGTTCAACCACTAATGCAATAAATCATTCATTATTGAATGCTTGCTATTATTCACTTGGAATAAGAAAAAAACTTGTTGGAGTATTTTCATTATGTCATATTTCATACAGTTGTAAACAGGATTTTACAATATATCACTCCATGCCACTTTATTGGCATGGCTTAATTTTAAAATGCATAATTTATAATCATTGGAAGATTATCATAATCCATGGTTAGTTGAAGAGGAAATTGAGAAGGCTGACAATAAAAATGTATCATCTGGATATTTGGGAAAGCCAAAGTAGTACTTAAGCAATGTATAAATGATAACTGATGGCAAGAAAAAAACTGAAAACCATTAAGGAAATGTGATTTTTAGCAATTATTATTTGATCATAATTGCTATTAATTTTCTATAGCGATCTCAACCCTAAATACCTCAACTTAATTGTGATGCTTTCTTCATTAAATTCTGTGTTTCAACATGCCCTGAGTGGGCTGCTTTGTAAGAGGGAGATACACAATCAGGTACCAGGAGGGGTGAGTCTTACTTTTCCTCTTGCTTCCCTTTTTTATCAGAAGCTGAACAGGGCATCTGCACATGCAGCTCAGGGGCTGCAAAACCACATACCAATGGGACACACATGATGGAGTCTGGCTCCTTGGGGACCATAATTTTAACAATTTATTACAAAAGCTGACAGCTTTATCCATTTCCTTTTATTAAGAAAAATCTGTTACTTCCCCAACTCTTGCTGGGATACAAAATGAATTATACTGATTTGAAGGCTTCATACATCAGCCTTAATATTTTTATGGCATTTTAATGAAACTACAATGCTTTCATCTTTAATACTATAAAAAGCCTCCCATCTGAAATGTTGTAATCTCAGTTATAAAAGAACTTAAAGCACTATTAAGCAGAATTTTAACATGTGTCAAAATAAGAAATATTGAGATGAACCCTTGGGAAAGAGTTTTTAAATAATACACTCATCTCTGTAGGTTTATTAAAATAATGTCAAGTGAAATATTTGAAAGAAAATCAACATAGTTGTAACACCTTTCTTGATAGTAGACTAATTCACCACATATGATCGGTCTAGTGGAAACATGTTATTGATGGCTGGGTAAGGAAACGTTAGAAGGGTAGGTTTCTCCTCTGAGTGTGAGTTAACTCACATTCAAAATGATGAGTCGTTTTTAATACTCCATGCAGCAGTTGCCCTAAGATTTAGATGCAGTACTATTCAATAGAAAGCTACAAGTTTTCCAAGTGTATTTTATGCCTCACCACTGAGCATGTCTGGTGGAATAGGCACAGCTGCTCAGGAGGAAAGGAGAGCATCACTCTGAATACTAATTTGCATAACTGAGCTTTTAAAGTCTTAAATGTTGACATTCAGATTTAATATTTACTAACACCTTGCTTCCTGCTCATGTCATTAATGTTACCTGAAGGTGACCTTTTTAATTTATTAATAATAGTTAAAAACATGAATGTTTACATCAAACAGGATTCTGGAAAAACACTTAATGAGCTACTTCCCATATATTTTTCCATTTCACTCGTAAAGACATCTACAATAGAATGACTCTCACTTCTTTTTTTCTGCTTTGTGAGTCCTACACCACCACCTCAGACAACCTCAATCAGAACCCTGCAAGGGGTAATTTCTAAAAACCCTCCAAATTGCAATAATACACAGATGGCATAAAGAGTAGGTGTTTCAGGTTGTCCTATACGCATTTTCTGAAAACCATCTGGTGATGTCGCTTGTGATCGAGACAGGATAAAGTAGATCTAATGCTGTGTCACTACCATCATTGTTTTCTTATTATATAAAATTAATTTGCAATATTTATTTTGGCATAATAAACTAACAAGTCAGCATTTAAAGATAGGCAGACATATTGTACACAATAACTTGTAGCATGTTACTTAAAGGACTAACATGTACAAGTTTTTAAGCTTTGACTGTTGAGGTAAATTAAAACACAATATAGAACACGTCTGTTATGCTTGGGGAGAAAAGCACACAAATCACTGATCAGATACAAAGTTGTCCCTTTGTCCCACAAAACCATTTCGGAAAATAGCCAACATATTGTTCAATTACCTAATGATACAAAGCCTGATCTCCCTAGTCCTGGGAAACTTTCCTTTTAAAGGTATTTCTCTAAAATATTAAAACAGAAGATTAACATTTTTTCAATTATTTGAAAGTCCTTAACCCAAATTAAAGATTGCATATTACTCTATTATACTGTAGTACAGTGTATGTTAAGGCAATTTATGCTTTAAGAACTACATACAGCAGAGAATTGACCATGTGTAAGCTTAAAGACAGAGAGAATATTTCAAAACGCACTCACAGCATCTTTTGAAAACCCAAAATAAACTTAGAAATGTACATGGTAAACTCAGTGATAAAATCAGCAAGTTATATGACAAAATTTGAGATTCATCTAAGATATTACATCATTACACGTTAGGAATTCTTGTATTTCAAATAGATTGCTAAAAAAGAATCCCTTCTGCCCTACAGAACCATGAGGTAATAAACTGACACTGTCTTTACAAATGTAAACAATAAATTGCAAAGAGAGTCTGGAGGAATTCAAAGGCTGTCATTGAAGACCAAAACTTACCTGCAAATTTGATGTGAAATTTATTTTCAGGTTTTAGTATCTGGACATACAAAGGACAATTTGGAGCAAAATCTTTCACAGCCCATGCTCTCAAAATTGTTTGGTGATCCTGAAATGATAAGATAGCCAAAATAACCTGAGAATAACTTTAACAATAGAAGTATTAAATTGATAATATAGAAATTAAAATAGTAAGGCAATTCATTTGTCAGATAGTCAAATCTATAGTTAAAGTTTGAACATAAAAATTGTTGATGTCATTTTGCTTTTGCTTTTGCTGTTTTGAGTCAATGTCTTCGTCTTATATATTTCAGACTGTATTCAAATTTACTATGCAGATGGGTATGGCTTGGGACTTCTGATGTCCCTGCTTCTCTCTCTTAAGAAAATGTACCATTTATATAAAGGGTCTAATTCCTAATTCAGTCAGTGATACTAAGAGTTAGGACATTATAGACTGAGAGAATAGTAGCTGAACAATACTAAGCAAAATTGCAATTATAAAAGAATGGATACAGTATTTATCATAACAACAATCCACATAGAAATAATGGGGATTCCCAATATCAATTTATTTTAAACCCTGAAGAAATAAAACAACTATAATGAGAACCCAAGCAGAAAACATATTAGATTGCTTGTGTAACAGTAACAGGTAAGGCACTTGATTCTGTTCTATGATCACCTGTGTGTGTGTGTGTGTGTGTGTGTGTGTGTGTGTGTGTACAGTGATAAGAAAACTCAGATGGAATAAACTGTACTGGGAAAGATAGGACACTAAGAAAATCAAATTGAAATTATACTTTCAATGTGAAATCTTGTACATTGGCAAAAGTATAAATAGTTATCACATAAAAAAGAATATAGGGCAGATCGTTAGAAAATAGGATACACAACTACCAGCTTGGTTCTAGAAATCAATGTTGTGGTTATCATTGCCATTTAGTAGTCAATAGCTTCATACCGATGTTCAAGTTTATTAGTTACCCTTCAAATATTTAGAGCCTCATATGACTAGCTGTCATACTGGACAGTGGAAATGTAGAAAATTCTATTCAACGATATTGTTGGGACAAGGAAGAAGATGAAAACAACTTCTCCCATCAATGTGTGCTACAAGGAGACATATTGAATTGAATATGGAAATACAGAAAGAAAAGCCTGCTGTCAATATGTCAATATTTTTGCCAGATACTGCATCTGTTTGCACCTTGACCTCTGACTTCCTTAATCTGTCACTTATCAGTCACATATTTTGCTCTGTGGCTGAAGCAGCTTGAACAAGACAGTGTGTTCAACTTACATAAAAGCTGGTCAACAGAAGATCAGGACAGCATCCATGCACATAGGCATCTTCACGATCACACACACATGTCATGAGGACGCTAACAACATTACTAATAGCCTTTAAACAAATATCTGTTATTTAATATAACGTGATTCTAAGGTTAAGACATTATAAATAATTTAATTATGATGTTTGTCTTTTCTTTCATCAGAAGCACAAAATTGAAGAAAACTACTGTCAAATAACACTGAACTATATATTTTAAAATTTATTTTATGTTGTTTTACAATGATTTAACCTGTGTGTCTCTCAGTATCTAACTGGGCTTGGATAAGCCAGTTTCCATATATAAAATGCAGACACATTTCTATCACACAGTATTGCTATGAAGAAAACACATCTTACATATGAAGATCTTTATAGAAGCCAACAGTAAATGCTGAACAAACACAAACTGTTTTCCATATTATTTGAAACTTTTACAAGCAGAAATAATAAAATTAGGATAAAACATAAGTAACAAAGATGGAAAACATCAACATTGAGAGAAGGAAATCACCATGAAAATAAAGAATAGAGAATGTAAAAGAAGAACAAAGAAAGATGGTTCTGAAGAAAACCATCAATAGAGAGTGTGAGTGTCTTTGTCCCTAACTCCTTTCAGATAGCAAAGTCCAGTAAGTGCCAACTACTTGGATTCCCCTTGAGCCCTTCACTGCTGCTGGCTGGCCCCCTGGGGCAATGGAAGATGCAATTTAAAAACAATCCTTGAACATAAAACGACCCTAAGTATTTAGATGACAAGACACAAAGTTACAGAAATACAATACAGATAACAAACAAGAATACAAAAAAGCTACTTTTTGTTTATTTTTTATAACATCCTGACCAAAGTTTCCCCTCCCTTCTCTCATTCCAGGCCCTCCACCACCACTTCCACTCTCTCCCATCCACTCCTTCTCTGTTTCTCTTCAGGAAAAGGGATGGTCCTCCCATGGGTATCAGCCAGCCATTGTATATCAAGATGCAGTGAGACTAGGCACCCCCTCTTCTATTAAGGCTGGATGAGGCAACCTAGTAGGAGGGAAGGGTCCCTGAAACAGGTAACAGAGTCAGAGAAAGCCTCTACTCCCACTGTTGGGAGTTGGACAGGAAGACCAAGCTACACAAGTGTAACATATATGCAACCCCACAGAGGCACCCTGATTGATGATTCTGTGGGTATTTCTTGTGGTGTCCTTGACCCCTCTGGTTTGTACAATCATTTTCTTCCCAACTTCTCTAGGATTCCTAGACCTCAGCCTACTGTTTGGCTGTTGGTGTCTGCATCTGTTTCCTTCAGCTTCCAAATGTAGCCTCTCTGATGACAACTGGCGTAGGCTCCAAACATATTTGTCTTTCTGGGTCTAGATAACCTCACTCACCATGACCTTTTCTAGTTCTATCCTTTGCCACAAAATTTCATAATGTTATTGTTCTTAACAGCTGAGGAACACTCCTCCACTGCTGGTGGCAGTCCAAAACTTGAACAATTGTTTTGGAAATCAATATGGCAACTTTTCAGAAAATTGAGAATAGATCTACTTCAAGACCCTGTTATACCACTCCTGGAAATACACCCAAAGGATGCTCCACCACACCACAAGGACACTTGCTCAACTATGTTCACAGCATCTTTAGTCGTTTTATTCATAGTAGCCAGAAACTGGAAACATCCTAGATGCCCCTCTACAGAAGAATGTATAAAGAAAATGTGGTACATCAACACAATGGAGGGTATTACAAACTAAATTTATTAAACTAAACTCCAAAATATTGAAAACATAAGACACCAGTAAAGATGTGAAATGATAGGAAGTGTCACTTGCCAGGAAATGACTTGGGAAGATCATTTTAAGGAAATTTACAAAATTAAATATACATTTGATTCAGAATTAAGGTCTTTAATATTTATAGAAGTAGTAAACACATGTCCACACAAAAGTCTACACATAAATGTTTATAGGAACTCTATGATAATCAAGATAAATAATCAAATAAAAATAATCAATCTCTTTCCACCAATGAGTAGATAACCTAACTTTTTATTTCATGGTGAAAAGAAATGACCAATCAAGCCAGAAAACACCATGGATAATCTCAAATGCTGTTGAGGAGAGAGAAAAGCAAGGCCAATCTGAAAAGGCCATATACTACAGGATCCAAAGGACATGATCTTATGAAAATGTGGATGTATAGGGACAATTACAAGCTCAGGACTTGCTGGTTCTGGTGTTTGTGTGTGTGTGTGTGTGTGTGTGTGTGTGTGTGTGTGTGTGTGTGTTTGTAAAGATAGAGGGAAACGGCTAAAGCAGAGATGACAGGCCTTTCTTCAAACTACTAATAAACTAATATTGGGTCTTTGGAGTTTGGCTGTATTACATTATGGGTCTATCTGAAATTTTGCTGCAGGAGGATTTGATTTGAGATGCATACCGCCACCACACCACCACAGCTGGTTTTTAAGTGGAGTGTGAGGATCAAACTCACATCCTCAACATTGCAACAAAAACAAGTTTATTGGTCTGTAGTTGTCTTTCTTAGTTGTGTTTTTGTGTGGCTTGAGTACCAAGGTTATTGGCAATGAACCTCCTGCTTCTATTTTGTGGAATACTTTGAGGAGAATTGGTATTAGCTGTTCTTTGAATTTCTGGTAGAATTCTGCATTGAAGCCATCTGGCCCTGGGCTTTTTTTTTCGGTTGGGAGACTTCTGATGAGTGCTTCTATTTTATTAAGGGTTATAGGTCTATTTAAATTGCTTATCTGTTCTTGATTTAATTTTGGTAAGTGATATCTATCCAGAAAATTGTCCATTTCCTTTAGATTTTTTAATTTTGAGGAGTACAGGTTTAAAAGTATGACCTCGATGGATTTCCTCAGTGGCTTTTGTTATATCCCCCTTTTCATTTCTGATATTGTTAATTTGCATGTTCACTCTATGCCATTTTCTAAGTTTGGATGAAGGTTTGTCTATCTTGTTGATTTTCTCAAAGAACCAACTCTTTCTTACATTGATTCTTTGTATTGTTTTCCTAGTTTCTACTTTATTGATTTCAGCCCTCAATTTGATTATTTCCTGGCATCTACCCCTCTGGGATGCATTGACTTTTTTGTGTACTAGAGCTTTCAGTTGTGCTGTTAATTCTCTGGTGTGACTATTCTCCAGTTTCTTCATGTGGGCACTTAGTGCTATGAATTTTCCTCATAGCACTGCTTTCAAGGTGTCCCATAAGTTTGGATATATTGTGTGTTCATTTTCGTGGAATTCTAGGAAGTCTTTAATTTCTTTTTTATTTCTTCCTTGACCCAGGAATGATGCAATTGCACATTGTTCAACTTCCATGAGTTGTAGGTTTCCTGCAATTTGTGTTGTTGTTGAATTCTAAATTTAAAGCATGGTGGTCTGATAAGATACAGGGGGTTATTCCAATATTTTTGTACCTGTTGAGGTTTGTTCTGTGGCCAAGTATGTGGTGAATTTTAGAGAAGGTTCCATGTGGTGCTGAAAAGAAGGTATATTCTTTTTGTGTTTGGATGGAATGCTATATAGATGTCTATTAAACCCAGTTGGGTCATAACTTTTATTAGTACCTTTGTTTTTTTGTTAAGTTTCTGTCTGGTGGTCCTGTCTAGTGGTGAGAGTGGGTTGTTGAAGTCTCTCACTATAAGTGAGTGAGTGAGTGATTTGAGTTATAATAAAGTTTCTTTTAGGAATGTGGATGCCTTTGTATTTGTGGCATAGATGTTCAGAATTGAGACTTCATATTGATGGATTTCTCCT